GGCACTACAGTGATTCTCTGCCTGGAATCACTGGGCGTGGGTACTTAAGCTGGTGACCGCCCAAACAGGTGTCACTGGGGTCGAAGACAGTGACGGTGACGGTGACAGTGACCGTGATGGTGACGGCAACAGCAAACTTTGGTCAGTGCTCTCAAGGCCTATTTTGCGAACTTTGGTTGCGGCGCTCGGGGTCCATTTTGCGAACTTTGGTCGGCGCGCTCAAGGCCCATTTTGCAAACTTTGTGTGAGATCTTTGGTCTTTACGTATCCTGAACAGAAATTGCCTGTTTTCTGGCTAAAATGCAATCAGATTTGCCCTATGGCTTCTCGTTGCGGAGATATAGACCGTCTAAGTTTGACTCACGTGACCAATTTGGCACTCAAGCCCCATTTTGCAAACTTTGGTCGGCGCGCTCGGGGTCCATTTTGCGAACTTTGGTCGCTGCGCTCAGGGGCCATTTTGCAAACTTTGTGTGAGATCTTTGGTCTTTACGTATCCTAAACGGAAATTGCCTGTTTTCTGGCTAAAATGCAATCAGATTTGCCCTATGGCTTCTCGTTGCGGAGATATAGGCGGTCAAAGTTTGACTCACGTGACCAATTTTGGCGCTCAAGGCCCATTTTGCGAACTTTGGTCGGCGCGCTCGGGGTCCATTTTGCGAACTTTGGTGCTTGCGTGCGTGCGGGCGGGCGTGAGGGTCACGTGTGTGTGTGTGCGTGCGTGCGTGCGTGCCGTGCGTGCGTGCGTGTGTGCGCGTGTGGGATCAAATTTGATCTCACAGCAGATGTATGACACTGCGCGTTTGGGGCGCACCTGGCGCGCGTATGGCGCACGCGTATGGCGCGTATGGCAGCGTATGGCGCGCGGTTTGTCTGCGCGCTTTTACGGCATAAAAGTAGCTCCGGCCATCTCCATGGACGTCTGTACGCGTCTTTTGGCGGGGGTTTTGGCTGCGCATCCGCTTTTGCGCCGTAAAAGTCTCGGGGCATATATATAGTGCATGCATGCGGGATCAATCTTGATCTCACAGCCAAAACCCGTGCTTGCGTGTGTGTGGGTGTAGGGCGTAAGGGTCACGTGCGTGCGTGCGTGCGTGCGTGCGTGCGTGCGGGATCAAATTTGATCTCACAGCCAAAACCCGTGCGTGCGTAAATGCTGTGTGCGTGCGTGCGTGCATCTGGCGCGCGTATGGCAGCATCTGGCGCGCGTATGGCACCCAGCGTGTGGCAAGCATTGTGTCTGCGCCGCGTTTACGGCGTAAAAGTAGCTCTGGTCATCTCCATGGACGTCTGGCGCATCTTTTTGGCGGGGGATTTGGCTGTGCATCCCCTTTTGCGCTGTAAAAGTCTCGGGGCATATGTATAGGGTCACATAGATTCCCAAATTTGAGAGGCGCCACCAGCCAAAATCACCCCGCACTTGCGCTTTGCGCCTCCTCATGCAAAAACGGCTTTTGCAAAGAGACCTTTTCTGCCAGAAGACACTCCTCAATGTGCTCTACAAACTGGCTATCAAACATCTCCGACCCTAATTCCAGACACCCTTGTAACCCTAACCCTAACCCACCAAGCGTCCCACCAAGCCTCGCGTCAATCCTCGCGCCAAATGTCCCACTGACCCTCCGCTCGAGCCTCCAGTCGGGAAACCTCGAGCGAACCCTCGAGCGAAGCTTTGGCACGTGCCTCCCCCTCGCACAGCACGCTGTCGAGCGTACGGTACAGTTGTACGTACAGTTGTACACTATGCACGCGCGTACAGTTGTACAGTTGTACATGCGCGCGCGTACAGTTGTACAGTTGTACCCGCGCGTACAGTTGTACAGCTGTACATTATGCACGCGCGTACAGTTGTACAGCTGTACAGTTGTACACTCTACATGCACGCGCGCGTACAGTTGTACAGTTGTACACTACGCACGCGCGCGTACGTACAGTAGTCCCGTACAGTCGTACAGTAGTACACCATGCTCGCGTACAGCACACTAGCACACGTACACGTACACGATGTGTACGATTACTCGTGACTTGCGCCGCCCTCATTTCCTCACAGTCTTTGAAAGCGCGATCAGAGCATACGCCTCCTTTCGTCGCCCAGGGCTCCTCTCGCACTCGGCGCAAAGAATGCAAATTGCGTGCGTGATGTTGATCACGCTGCATTCGCTTGTGCGAACACAAGCGGAACATCGAAGCGCTTCTCACAAGGAGCTCGGAGCGAGCAAAAACGTGTCTACATTTGCGGCTGTACAAGTGCATGTGTCTACGAGGCTGCTATAACGATCCGTTGTGCACGTTTCAAACGCACGCAGCCGACGCTTGCGAGACCGCGCTGAGCGTAAACCACTCCGCGGGTAAAGCTGCTTTACACGAGCTGCTCTGTGCGAGCGTAAAGTCCGATCGCCGCTGTCCTATTCTGTTGAGCCTGTTTGCGCTTCATGCCGCGATGGCTCCCCCGGAGTGCCAGATTTTGATCCGCGCGCTAAAGCGAGCGCTCCAAGTCATCGAAGCTAGTGAGCGCCCACATTCGCTCGAGATCCCACGCGCGCCAGTGAGCACCGACATTTGCTCGCCTGTGCACTTTCCCCGGCTCAAAGATGGGCTAGCTTGGTGCGAGTCTTCAAAAGGTCTCGAAATTCAGACCAAGCGAAGCGAGCATCGCGGCGTGATGATCCCAATTTCGCACGCAATCACCCGCTGCAGTGTCCAAGCTTGTGAAATGTGGAGTCAAAGTCGAATGGACAGAGGAAGCAGCAGCCAAAATGTCGCTACTCGTGTTTGCGATGTGGGTGTCTGTCACTAGTTTGAGGTGCTGCACCGACTCCTCCTCGCTTGTGTCTGCAGATTTGTGCGGCTCGGCAGCACCATTTGTTGCCGCGCTGTGATCCGCGCCATCTGAGCTGGCGTCAGTGCAAGCGAGCTTGCTGAAATAATCGCTCAACAGCGTTTGAGCGTGGTGAGACGTAATGTCGACCTCTTCAGATGGGCAAAAGGTAATGTTGGGCTCTCCACGCATGCGGCGCCACCAATTTGTCCTTTTGAGCAGTTTGGCAGGCAGAACCGGCCGATACTTGCGCGCAAAAGAAGCGCTCATCTCCCAAGCCTCTTCGTCTCCAGGATCGTCGCCGTGAATGCAAAAGGTGTGCCCCGATCCTGTGCACTGCCAAGGTCGTCCAAGCAAATCACCCTTTAGGCTCGCATAAGGCACGAGATTGGACATTGTCAAGGCGATGAGTGCATCTCGAAGCTCGGGCCAAGGTAGAACATCAACCATGCTAGGATGCCTCGTCTTTAATTGCAGCTCGGTCGGATGAAGGTTGGCCGTCTCCTCTAAGCGCTTCAAGCGAAATTTCTCTTCCTCTCTCGTCAATGCGCTTGGCAAGTCGATCCACATGTTCTTCGATGCGGGCGTGCGCGTGCGCAAACCCGAGCTAGGCCCGCCGCGACGAGACCAAATGTCGCGAATGTTTGACATGCCGTCGCCGGCCCTGAGGTCTTCTTCTAGATATCCGAGCGTGATGGCATTGTGATAGTAGGCCTTGATGAACGGGTGCGTAAATGAAATTGCACTCGTAGAGCCGGGATCGAGGACCGTGGGCAAGCGTCGAAGGCCTTCCAGGGTCCCTTCGTTGGAAAGAAACACGCAAACGGCAAGCATACCTTTTTCTTTGGTGATCAATTGCGCAAATTGATACCCCTGTGGCCAGCCTTTGATCTTCGTTGGCCGCGCGCACGAGCCGTGTTGCGGGATGTTCACATGGAGAGACTTCCAAAAGTTCTTCCACCAGCTTTCGCTCGCTTGCGCGCTATCATCCGCAGCGCCGGCGTCCGCAAACACCTCCCACAGCAGTCTTCGCGACACACCACTGGGAAGCGCGTCGGGCTGCGTGCGAGACACATGCGGATGTTCAACGACCTCCCGCGTCGCGTGGACTGTTGGCGCGTCTCTAAACTGACGGTCCGCATTGCTTGCGGGGCGATTGGAAATTTCCGACACGTTCGAGACGCTTGCTTCCAGAAGCGAATCCGGAGCGAGTTCGCGGAGATCAACGTCGAACATGGCTGAATCCGATGAGCCGCGTTGCTCACCCTGCACAAAGTGCGAGGGGTCGGATGATGCGACAGGCGACAATGAAGACATGAGACTGCCATCGCTAGCCACCTGTTGGATGCCAGGGTGAGGGTCGATGTGGTTGCTTCCCACAGCATCGGCAAAGGCGCTTACATCGAGGGAATGCCTGCCAGGTGAACCTTCGATGCGAACATGAGAAGCGGCGGAAGCGGTGGGCGACCGTTCGGACGCCTGTGCGATTTCAAGTCGCCTGGCACTGGTGCTTGCCTCTGCTAGCGAGGCCCGCTTCAGTCTAAACCGCACTTGTGCTCTTCGGTTCTGGGCACGCCGTCTTTCGAGAAGGAGGGATGGGTCTGATTCTGCTGCTTTGGCAGGCATCTCGCTCCAGCGTTGCTCAGACGACTTGACGAGATGCTTATCGTAGCTGCTGGCGAGATGCTTATCGTAGCTGCTTGCTCGAACGCTAAATGTCCTACAAGTGACTGCGAGCCGAAATGAATACAAGCTTTGCTTACTGCTGACTTGACATCGATGTCCGCCACAGATGCGGTGATTGCTCTTGTTCACGATTGGCGCTCGTGTGCTGATGCGTGGTGGTGGATTGGATCTGCATGGCAAGGTAGGTCGCGCTTGATGAGTGAGGCGGCAGCGACAAGCACGCACGATGGGCACAAGGCGCATTCGCAAAGCTTACCTGTTGCAGCTGGCGCAAGAGCAATCGATCGCACTGACAAAGCAGATGTCTGCCTGCATGTGTGCTTGCGGTGGGGTGGTAAGGGCGAGTTGGTGAGCCAATCTCGAGCTGTGAGTCGTTACTCCTCGCTCGTGGCGATTCCGTCGTGAATCGGATTTGGGAGCTGTGATGTGCGCGCGGGGGCCCGATCTTGCATATGCGGTGCCCGTACGCGCGCTAGAGGTGCACTCACCCACTCACTCCATCACCGCCGCCGCCGCCGCCGCCGCCGAGGTAAGCTTACCACGTTGGCCCGCCGCGTGCAGAAGCAGCTGCGCGGGCGCGACTCACGACTCACGACTCACGACTGCAGGGCTCGCTGTAGCTGCGCGTGCACAAGGAAATGTGAATGCCCACGTCGTGTTCCCACTCACGAACTCTCATTGACTCCAAGTCGAGGCCAGGCCCGACCCCATCAAAGCGACCTCAACTCCACCTCGGCGACGCATTGCAACCGCATCCCTGGCGTAGCGACGTACCCAACGCACCCAATCGGGCACACCGGTAAGATTGTGGTGCACCGTGCGGGTAAGCTTAGCGCGCCGTCGCTGCGTGGATGCAATGTGGTCGCACGCGACGCCGGCAGGGGTCAAGAGGGGTGCTCTCAAGACGTGTGTGTGCACTCCGCACGGCGACGTGTAAAAGACATGGCAGCGGAGGCGATGCGTGCGGCTCGATGACGGCAGGTTGAGCATAGATACCGGCAAGATTCCTGTCTTGGAGCGTCAACATTTGTGAATGGCGCCCTACCAGTAACCCCTCGCACACCTCACCATGACCGACAAAACAGTCTGCGTTTCTGGAGTCACTGGGTACGTCGGTTCCTGGGTCGCTTTGACCTTCTTGCAGCACGGCTGGCACGTCCGTGGTACGGTCCGCTCCCAGCAAAAGCGCGCCTCCTTGCTCGCCACGTCTGCGCAGCTCAAAGCATACAGCGACGCTGGAAAGCTCACGCTTTGGACAGTCGAGGACGTCATCACTGGCGACTTTTCGGAGGCCTTGCAAGGATGCATTGCCTTTGCACACACCGCCAGCCCTTTTGCTTTGCGCGGCAGCAACAACGAGCGCGACTTTTTGAAACCGGCGCTGGAAGGAACGCGCAACGCTATTCAAGCTGCTCACAAGAGCGGCACTGTGCGCAACTTTGTCGTCACGTCGTCTTTTGCCGCAATGATGGATGGTGACGACATGTTTCCCTTCAATGCGCGACGCTACACCGAGCACGACTGGAATCCCGCCACATACGAGTTTGCAGCTCAAAGCGACGTTCCCCTCATCGGTTATGTTACGAGCAAAGCGTTGGCCGAGAGGTTCTGCTGGCAGTATCGAAAGGACAATAATCTCGAGGGCAAGATGAATATTGGTGCGCTTTGTCCACCCATGATTCTAGGTGTGTGCGCTTGCCCACGACGCCGTGCTGACGGTACGCGCGCGCCCAACGCTGACCGCCGTCACGCGCGTCAGGCCCCTTCTTCCACATCACCGACTCCTCCAAGCTGGGCGAGTCGCTGTTTCAGATGCGCCGAGTGATCACAGCAGCCGATGACAGTGCGGACGTTCCCCCTCAAGCCTTTCCAGTCTTTGTCGATGTGCGCGACGTAGCCCTCGCGCACGTTCGATGTGTCGAGCGCAACGTCAATTCGCGTTACCTCATCGCCAAGGGAACTTTCAGCAACCAATTTGTTGTTGATCAGGTGCACGAGCACTTTCCTAGCGAGGCGATCAAGTACAAGCTACCGCGCGGCAAGAAGGGCGAGTATGCGGATGACGACCCAAAAATTTGCATGCTCGAACACGACAAGAGCCAGCGCGAGCTAGGCGTGGAGTACACGTACACGCGCGAGGAAACCTTTTACGAGACGATTCGAGACATTTTCGAGCATCTATAGCGGTTCCCCTCCTAGGCTGGCGTTTGATGGGCACGGGAGCAGCCCTCTGCGTCGATCCTCATGAATCCCTCTGGGGTGGAATGCTTTTGCAGCGATGCGATCCAGTCCACCGCTGCAAAGAGCACCGATGCCCTTTGCAATCACGTGAATCGGAAATCGAATGCGTAGCCCCTCGATCCGCTCTGCCCCTTTTGAACGTCGCACGCACGTTGAGAAATGTAGCCATGCTCGGCAATGCTCGTCGCACGCCGAGATATTTAAAAGCGACGTGCGTCCTGTCCGAGTCATGAGTCAAACGAGTCAAACGAGTGGTCACGTGTACGCCTCTTGACTCAAAAACTGAACTCGATCAGGTCGCTTTACAGCCGTAAATCTTGAATCACGAATCACGAATCACCGCACGTGAATCGTGAATGAAACCTTGATGAATGTGAATCTGACGCGAGAAACGACGTCTCATCAGTGCTCGCGCTCCGTGTCACGTGTTTGGTGTCGTGTCGCGCCGGGTCCGTGCATGCGCATGCACCGCCACGCATGACGGCGTGCTGCTGCTGCTTGCATACGTGATGTCCTGGCCACAGCTACGGCACCACGAGTCGCGCGCGAGTATGAGTGAGTGTCTGGCAGCGGTGTAGCAGCGGTGTAGCAGCGGTGTAGCAGCAGCACGCCGAGCTGCAGAGAACATCATAGCGCATCAGCAGTCGGACGACATCGCGCTCTTGCGAGGGCGCTTGGCGCGTGCATCCTTGCGCGTTTTCACGGTGTGTAGAGGGAGAGCGAGAGCGAGAGCGAGCGCATCCATCACCCAAACCACTCGCTCATCCATCAACCGCAAACCATCATCACCTCTGCCAATACGCGCCCAGCCACTCATCCATCATCACAGCACTCGCACTTCACTCACTACTCCTGCATTCCTTCATCATGACTCGCACTCCCACTCGCACTCCCACTCGCACTCCCACTCGACCCATGTCCACCTCTGCGGTGCTGCTTCTAGCCATCGTGCTGGTGCTAGCCCTCTCACTCGTTCCCCAAGCTCGCGCTTTCGGAGCGGGCAACATTCCTAGCTATGCATACATGGAGGGCAAAGCTTTCCGTGAGTTGCGCGCAAGGGCAAGGCTGTGCGATGCGGGGTGCGATGCGGGGTGCGATGCGAGTCGTGCTGCGAGTCGTGCTGCGACCGACACCACTGTGCTCGTCTCGCTGACCGCGACTGACACCGCCCTGCTCGCCTCGCTCACCGCTCTTCAGGCCATGGAGACATCGAAGATATTCTCGCCGAGCTCGCCAAAAAGGTGAGCGGGAGCGGGACCGGTCGTTGGATGCACACCGTTGCGCTTTGCTTTAGCTGACCGAACGCCGCGCACCGCGCCGCACCACGCACTCACGCAGGCCGGACACGGCTTTATGGGCATCGGAGGAGGCTCCAAGTTTGGCGGTCTGGACATCAAGGTGCGCTCTCTCTCGCTCGCTGCCGGTAGGGAGGAGCGCACTCCCGCTCCTGCTCCCGCTTACACTCGCCTGACGCCCCCTTTCAGCGCGTCTACTTTGGCAATTGGCTGAGGGACTACTCGCAGGCCATGGATGTGGCAGCCATGAAGAAGCTGCCCGTCCAGCAGATCCTCAACATTGTCATGGTCCTCGGTGAGTCCCAAGCGTTCGCAGCAAGCGTGCCCAACGCCACGCCACGCCACGCCACGCCGCGCCTGACCAACTCCCGCGTCGATTCTCTCTGCGACAGGCTTCTTGGCGCACGGCTATGCTACAGGAGCTTTCGAAGTGACTGCAGAGCGCCTCGGCGTGTATTTGCCAGTGGAGCACATGTGAGTAGTGCGGCATGACCACTCGCTTCGACGATGCTCACCTGGACGCGCGCCTCGATATAGCGACAACCCCAAGGGCTACAACGAGAATCAGGATGCCCGTCAGCACGATCCTCGACTGCGAGGTCCCATCGACCCGCGCGAGCTGGAAGTTGATCCTCGCTCTGGCATGAAGAATTACATCGCCAATGAGAATCAAGGTTGGGACACGAGCTCCGCCTTGGTTCGACGCACGCTAGTCAAGTGCATCGAGCTCGGTCGTAGGGCTAGAGGCGGAAACACCGACGAGCTGTACGAAGCATATCGCCTGCTCGGTACTGCTCTCCACACGCTCGAGGATTTCTCTGCGCATTCAAAGTGAGCAGATGGCGCTCTAAAGGAAACCCATTCTTCGTCGATGGCTAACGCGCTCGCTCCGCGCCGCGCCGCGCCCAGCTTCTGCGAGCTGGCTTTGCAGCGTCTGGGACATCGCAACGTGTTTGTGCACGTCGGACACAATGTCGTGGTGCGCGCACCCGACGGCAATCAGTGTCCTCCGCTAGTCACTGGAACGTTTGGTGGCGCAGATTTCCTCCACTCGCTACTTGGTGAAGCGCAAGATCACATGTCTGAAGCTTCCATCTCGGATCTGTCCAAAGCGGTTGATGGAGCCAAGCAAAAGTCTCGCGGCGGCGGAGGCGGGAGTCCGATGCAGCAGCTCTTTGGCTTGCTCAGCGGCATCCCAGGCGGCGATTCGACCAACACCAGCCGCGACGCTGAGGAGCTTAGTCGCGGACCTAGCAAAGACCCCGCCAACATGGATCCAAAAGAGCTCTACCAGAACCTCGTGAGTGATGTCGGCGCACTCGTACTGCTCCCGCTCAGCGCTTACGCTTCGCGCGCACATTCCAGTTCCGCATCTTGGCCTTCCGCGATCGCGTCATGATGTCGATCGAGCAGACCATCGAAAAGATTCCTGGCTTGAGCTCGCTCGTAGAAAAAATATCAGACTCGTTGAGCGTCTTTGTCTTGACGCTGCTGGAGCCCTATGTGAGTTGTTCGCTGCCTGAACTTCTTCGCACGTGCCTAGAGTTCCTCGCATGTGCCTCGCAGCTATACTCCCGCTGACGCTCCGCACACGGCAGGTCAAGCCCTTGATGACTAGCGCCATGTCTGGATTGCACGCCACCAGCTCCGCCGTCGTTTCGGGAGAAGACCAGACGGAAGTGTTTGACAATCCCAATGCCAGTGATCCTACGCACTCTCAATTGTCAAAGGATCACTTTGGGTGAGTGGTGGCATCCGTCTGCGCGGGCGCGAC